ATTTGCTCGTTTCTGGTAGACGTTTTCTTGGTGGTGGCCGCAGCAAATCTGCGATGTGTTCCCAGTCAATCCAACAGAAGTTTAGCAGACACCGGTTGATCCGATTTGCCGCATTGATGACATACTCAGCCCTCGCAGGGAAATGCCAGCTTGAGGGCCTGACGTTGGCCGCTGCTCTACTGCTTGTGAGGCAGAACTTCAATCAGTTGCTGGTGCTTCTCGGTGACGACCGTGGCTTGGTGAAGGAGGAAATGGAGCTGGAGGGTATGGACCAGTTGGAGGTGTGGTGGGGGGTGCAACTGACAGCAGCGGTGGACCTTCCTGTCAAAGAAATCTAAAGGATCTCCCAAAGTGGTATTGCCGATGTATGATCCGCTCTTTGTAGCATCAGGAAGCTGCTCGTGACAAGTTGATCAAGCAGCCCTAACTTGTTGGACAATTTGGAACACCCATAGTATGGCATCCTGCCTCCAATGTCATCATACTTATGCGTTCGATCGAGGTGAGTTTAAATTGGGGCTGGCAGATTGTTTGCTCCATTTGCAACTATATGTGTGTGTGTGTGCGCGCATGTATGGACTGATCAGATAAGTTTCGAGTGGATGAGAAAATGCAGTAGATGGATTGGATAGAGAAGGTATACGTTATATGCATATATATATATATATATTGAACGATTGCTACAGTCATCAGGAAAGATCATGCAAAGCATGGGGGCGCGCATGCGTGGGTTTGCACTGGCATGTAGTGTTCATTGTGATGCGGTCCAGCATGCGTCCCTCAGCCGAAGCTGTTTCGCCCCAAGCTTGGGCGGCCCCAGCAGACCATGGAGGACAGGGCTGGAAGTACTGCTTGATGTTGCCCCCCCCCCCCCAAGCCAGTGTTGCGGCCTTTGGTCATGCTGCTCCTGTTTGCAAGTTGCAAATCGTGTCAACATGAGGGAAGGAATCTCTTTATGTTTCCTACAAGCAAGTTGGTTGTCGCCCTGTATGAAATTCACTGCTGACAAGGAACTGCCACTTGATTGAGCCTCACAGATGATTCGCTGCACAAGGGGCAGTTTTGACTCATCATGCAGACGATTGGGTCCAAGAATGATACTAAGCCGCTCACGGCGCTGCGTTCCCAAGACTGATTGAACTAAAGGGCATCCATAATTTGCCTCGATTGATTTGTTCCCTTCGTTTGCAGCCTCCAGAACTGGTCCGCCACAGTTGCATCGTGCTCAGCCACGAATCGCGTGGAACGCTTAGGCCGCCAACGTGACAGTTTGGGGCAGAGGCCAGCTGACCTGTGGACCCATTGACCCAGTGCAGCCAAGATCCCGCAAGGCTCAACTTTCCCGCTTTCCCTGGAGTGGAGTTGTGTCAGTTGTGTCAAGTTGTGTACGTTCACGTCTCGCACGGAAGGATCTGCTAGTGGTGCTGGCGACGGAGCGTGCGGAGTTGGAGCGGCTGCTGCTGGGGCACCGCCTGCAGGTGGAGGCCTCGCTGCGGCGCCTGGCCGCGGCGGAGCGCGCCGTGGACTGCGCGCCGACGGCCAACACAGGCGCTGTGTTGGGACGGGGGGAGGAGGGGGGAATGAACCGGACGCTTGACTTGAACATGATGCATTGTCGCGACAGCTCCATGTTTGTTGTACTTCCAGAGCAAAGCTTAACTGGCATTAGTCAGCGAGAGCCCTCAGGCAATCACACACATGCAAAGTAGCTTGCTCCAAGTAGTTGTATTTCTCTGAGAAGATTCAATGGATATCAAGGGAATGGTGATAAATGTTTTGCTAGGCGCGCCCAAGAAATTCATGATGTGTGTTTGTGTCTGTGTGTATTTGTGCGTTTGGGCGAAGAAACCCCGAGTTGTGGTCCCCGCAGTGTTTTGCGAGTAAGTTCTGACGTCCGTGTTGGCTTGTTTGGGCCCCAATCTGTTGAGGTTTCTCAAGATTCATTGGACGGGTCCCTTTGGATTTTGTCTTCGACCATTTTCCTTTAGAATTATCCCGTTGGCAATTTCCCATTTGCAGTCTGCCATCGCAATGCTCGCATTGGAGTTTGCCCTGTGAAATTGTCCCTTTGAACATTTTCCCTTTGCAAAGGATTACGTGCAAGATCAGCGATTACTAACAAGTGCATTGTTCTGCATGTTGTCTTCCTTTCGGACTGACAGGTTTTCAGCCACTCATGGTTTAAGTGTTTTAACCATCGATATTTCAACACGTTGAGCCACTAAGATGTTAAGATGTTCATCCACTAAGGTTTTAGACAGTAAGATTTTAAGCCTTTGATGTTGAGGCTTTACGCCATGAACATGTCAACGCGTTAAGCCACACAACAAACAATTACTCTATTAATACTCTAAGGTTTGAAGCCATCAAGGTTTCAAGATGTTCAGCCGTTAATATTGAAGGTTGTAAGCCATTAAGATGGTAACACACAAATATTTTAAGGTTGTGAGCCATTCAGATGTTTCAGAGTTCAGATTTTTCAGGGTTGAATCCATTTAGAATTTCAGGTTTTCAGCCAAAAATGCTTTAGGATGTTCAGCCATCAATATTTTAACACTCAAGCCACCAAGGTTTGAAGATGTGCAGCTATTCCGATGTTTAGATGTTTAAGCCAGTAAGATGTTGAGCCAGTAAGATATTGACATGTTAAGCCACCAAGACTTTAAGATTTGGTTTGAAGGTTTTAAGATTTGAAGAACCTACGCCATTACTATTTTGAGTTTTTAAGCTATTAAGATGCTACACATATTTTAAGATTGTAAGCCATTCGGGTTTGTCCGTTTTTGGATTCAAGCTTTGAGCCAGTCATATTGTAAGATGTTTAGCCATCAATATGTTCACCTGTTAAGCCACTAATATTTTAAGATGTTCAGCCATTACATTGTTTTTGCGTTTAAGCCATTAAGATGTTAATAGCTTATGTCACTCAGATGTTTACACTTTTATTCCCCAGATAGCTGAAAGCTATAGGGGTTCTAACTTCTAATATAGAAGGAAAAGTGATTTGCGAGATTGAGGGCCGGGTGCTAGGGGGCATGCAGTTTGGGGTGCTGGTGGAGGTGCTGCTTTGCGAGCTTGACGGCCGGGTGCCAGGGGGCATGCAGCTTGGGGTGCTAGTAGTGGAGGTGCTGTTTTGCGAGAGTGATGGTCGGGTGCTAGGGGGCATGCAGTTTGGGGTGTTGGTGGAGGTGCTGTTTTGCGAGATTGACGGCCGGTGGCATGCAGTTTGGGCTGGCGGAGGTGCTGTTTTGTGAGAGTGATGGCCGGGTGCTAGGGGGCATGCAGTTTGGGGTGTTGGTGGAGGTGCTGTTTTGCGAGAGTGATGGCAGGGTGCTAGGGGGCATGCAGTTTGGGGTGCTGGTGGAGGTGCTGTTTTGCGAGCTTGACGGCCGGGTGCTAGGGGGCATGCAGTTTGGGGTGTTGGTGGAGGTGCTGTTTTGCGAGAGTGATGGCCGGGTGCTAGGGGGCATGCAGTTTGGGGTGTTGGTGGAGGTGCTGTTTTGCGAGAGTGATGGCCGGGTGCTAGGGGGCATGCAGTTTGGGGTGTTGGTGGAGGTGCTGTTTTGCGAGAGTGATGGCAGGGTGCTAGGGGGCATGCTGCTAGTGGAGGTGCTGTTTTGCGAGAGTGATGGCCGGGTGCTAGGGGGCAGGCAGCTTGGCGTGTTGGTGGAGGTGCTGTTTTGCATGGCCGGGTGCTAGGGGGCATGCAGTTTGGGGTGCTCGTGGAGGTGCTGTTTTTCGAGAGTGATGGTGGAGGTGCTGATTGACGGCCGGGTGCCAGGTGTGCAGTGGGTGCTGGTGGAGGTGTTGCTTTGTGAGAGTGATGGCCGGGTGCTAGGGGGCATGCAGTTTGGGGTGCTAGTGGAGGTGCTGTTTTGCGAGAGTTGGCCGGGTGCTAAAGGCATTCAGTTTGGGGTGTTGGTGGAGGTGCTGTTTTGCGAGAGTGTTTGCCTGTTTTGCGAGAGTGATGGCCGGGTGCTAGGGGGCATGCAGTTTCGGGTGTTGGTGGAGGTGCTGTTTTGCGAGATTGACGGCCGGGTGCCAGATGTAGTTCGGGGTGCTGGTGCTGTTTTGCGAGCTTGACGCAGTTTGGGGTGGTGGTGCAACTGCTGTGTTGGGTTGCCGGGGTTCTAACTTCTAATGAAGAAGTGGGATTGTTTTGCAAGATCGACGGTTGGGAGCTAGGGGGCATGCGCTTTGGGGTGCTGGCGCAGGTACAGTTTTGAGGTGCTGTTCGGGCTGGTGACAGTACGTGACGGCAAGGTGCTCGGTGCTCGGGGACCTGTCCAATGCTGGTGCGGGTGCTGCGTTGGGGTGCTGTTGGGGCTGCTGTCGTGAGGTGTTGGTGACGGTGTGGGCGCATATGGACGGCAGGGTGCTAGGGCGGGTGCTGTTTCATGATGCCGTTGAACCGGTTCGGACGTTGTTGCTGCTCTAGTAGTCTAACAGTCGTTTGTCATGGTGCGTGGTTCGTGGCTGGTGTGTCATCATGATGTTGTCACCCGCGTCATGATGCTGCTGTCACTGCGATGCTGCGATGCTGCGTTATGGTTCGTGGGTGTGGTGGCGCCATGATTGCTGCCAACATCAGGATGATGCTGAATTTCACTACGCTGTCGCGAGAAGATTCGTGGCTGTTGTATCATCATGATGCTGCCTTTTCAATTTGACCATTACCATGATGCTGTTCGCATCACCATGATGCTGTCCGCATCATGGTGGCGCTGTCCGCATGATCGTGATGCTGTCCGCATCATCATGATGCTGTCGAACTCATCAGGACGTCGTCTCTGCCTTTTTTCTGCTAGATATGTGGCGCGGAATCGTTCGTTGCTGGATGCTGTCAACATCATCATTTTTGGTGCTGAATTCATTAGGACGCTGTCTTCGTGTCTATTTAGCGCACATGCTGAGTGGCTGTGGTATCATCATGATGCTTTCAACATCATCATGATGCTGTCAACAACATCATGATGCCTCGGGAACCATTATGATGCTGCATAATGGTTTGTAGCCGTGATGTGCTATCTGGGGTCTACGCTGGTGTAATTTGTTTCTGAGCCCTTAAGCTTTTTCAGATTTTAAGCCATCAATATGCTCGGGAAAAAAAAACTAAACATCGCAATGGCTGAACATCTCGCATGCCGCAAGACACGAATATATAGGCCCTTCATGTTCAACACACCGTCTGTTTGTTGGCGGATTTCTCTCTTTCCCCAGATAGCTGAAAGCAAGAGGAGACCTAACTTCTAATCAAGAGGGCAAGGTGATTTGCGAGACTAAGGGCCGGGCAACACGGGGCATGCAGTTTGGGGAGCTGGTGGAGGTGCTGTTTTGCGAGAGTGACGACCGGGTGCTGGGGGGCATGCAGCTCGGGGTGCTGTTTTGCGAGAGTGACGGCCTGGTGCTAGGGGGCATGCAGTTTGGGCTGCTGGTGGAGGTGCTGTTTTGCAAGAGTGACGGCCGGGTGCCAGGGGGCTTGCATTTGGGGTGCTGGTGGAGGTGCTGTTTTGCGAGAGTGACGGCCGGGTGCTAGGGGGCATGCAGCTCGGTGTGCTGTTTTGCGAGAGTGGCCCGGTGCTAGGGGGCATGCAGTTTGGGGTGCTGGCGGAGGTGCTGTTTTGCGAGATTGACGGCCGGGTGCTAAGGGGCATGCAATTTGGGGTGATGGTGGAGGTGCTGTTTTGCCGGTGCGAGAGAGCGTGCTGGGGGGCATGCAGTTTGGGGCGCTGGTGGAGGTGCTGTTTTGCGAGACGGACGGGTGCTCGGGGGCATGCAGTTTGGGGTGCTGGCGGAGGTGCTGTTTTGTCAGATTGACGGCCGTGTGCAGGGGCGTTTTCGGCATCATCATGATGCTGTTCTTTTTTTGCTATTATATTATGGTGTTGTCAACATGACCATGCTGCCGCCTGCATCATCATGATGCTGCCTGCATCATCATGATGCTGCTTGCGTCATGTTTTTGCCTGCATCGTCATGATGCTGTCTGCATCAAGGTGGCGCTGCCGGAAGCGGTATTATGCTTTGGGCGTTCGCATGTTGCTTTGTTTGATGCCGCCAGCATGGTCAAGGTTTTGCAGATACCAAGTCCAAGCCCAAAAGGGAAGTTGCGAAACTCTGATGTGGATTTAAAAGCTCAAGATCTAAAGCTCAAACCTAGCAAGCGGTTGCTCTTTGCTTTTTTAATGCAGCTTCTTCTGTTTTCCTGTGTGAAGCGGTTTCAGCCAGATGCGTCGTCAAGTGGGTGCATTAAAAAAGGGAGGAGAGTGATTTGCAAGATGGACGGCAGGGTGCTAGGGAGCACGCAGTTTGGGTTGCTGGCGCAGGTGCTGTTTGAAGGTGACGGCGCGGGCGCATTTTTGCGAAATTGACGGCTGGGCGGTAGGGGGCGGTTGGGTTGCCTGCGCAGGTGCTGTTTGTGCAGTTTGGAGGCGCTGCTGTTTGGGGGTAGTGTTTGGGGTGCTGTTTGCGGCGCTTGTGACGTTGCGGGCGCAATTTTGCGAGATTGATGGGCGGGCGCGATAGCTGGAAAGGGGAGCTTGTTTTGCAAGATCGCTACCTTGGAGCTGCGGGGCACGCACTTGGTGCGGTTTTGAGGAGCTGTTCGGTTGAGGTGCTGGTCACAGTACGGGCGATTGACGGCAGGGTGCTCGGGGACATGTCTGGTGCTTGCGCAGGTGCTGCAGTGGGGTGCTGTTAGAGCTGCTGTTTCGACGCGCATATGGACGGCAGGGTGCCAAGGCGGGTGCTCTTCGGGGTGCTGTTGGAGAGTCTGGTGACGGCGCAGATGCAGTTTGGCGAGATTGACGGCAGGCTGCTGGGAGGGTGCTGGTTTGTGCTTGTGGAATTTCATGATGTTGTCCGCATCATCATGATGCTGTTGAAAGCATTCGGACCTTGTGGCTGCTCTAACAGTCGCGCGTGGTGGCTCGTAGCTGGTGTGTCATCAACCACGCCACGGTCCTGCTGGAACCACTACGATGCCGCATTGTGGTTCGCGGCTGCGGTAGCGCCATGATGCTGTCAACATCATGATGATGATGCTGAATTTCATGATGTTCGCATCATCATGATGCTGTCGAACTCATCAGGGTGTCGTCTCTGCCCGATATGTAGCACGGAATCGTCCGTGGCCGGCGTATCAGCATGATGCTGTCAACATCATCATGATGCTGTCAACATCAGCATGATGCTGCGGGAACCATGATGATGCTGCGCCATAGTACGTGGCCGTGGTATGCTATCTGGGGTAATTTGCGAGACTGGGAAGCGTGCAGTTTTCGGTGCTGGTGGAGGCGCTGTTTGGCGAGAGCGACAGCAGGTGGAGGTGCTGTTTGCGAGAGTGACGGACATGCATCTTGCGAGATTGACGGCCGGGTGCTAGGGGGCATGCAGGTGGAGGTACTGGTTTGCGACGCTGGTGGAGGTGCTGTTTTGCGAGACGGACGGCACGCAATTTGGGGTGCTGGCGAAGGTGCTGTTTTGTCAGATTGACGGCCGCGCGCAGGGGTGTTTTCGGCATCATCATGATGCTGTTCTTTATTTGCTATTTTGGTGTTGTCAACATGCCCATGCTGCCGCCTGCATCATCATGATGCTGCCTGCATCATCATGATGCTACCTGCATCATCATGATGCTGCTTGCGTCATGTTTTTGCCTGCATCGTCATGATGCTGTTCTGCATCAAGGTGGCGCTGACGGTATCGGTATTATGCTTTGGGCGTTCGCATGTTGCTTTGTTTGATTCCGCCAGCATGGTCAAGGTTTTGCAGGTAACAAGCGGATTTGCCAAGCCCAAGCCCAAAAGGGAAGTTGCGAAACTCTGATGAGTGGATTCAAAAACTCAAGCAGTTTGGGGTGCTGATGCAGGCGTGCTGTTTGGGGGTAGTGTTTGGGGTGCTGTTTGCGACGCTTGTGACGTTGCGGGCGCAATTTTGCGTGATTGATGGCGGGTGCTGCATGCAGTTTGGGGTGGTGGTGCAAGTGCTGTTTTGGGTTGCTGCGGGCGCAATTTTGCGAGATTGACGGCGGGTGCTGCATGCAGCTTGGGGTGGTGGCGCAAGTGCTGTTTCGGGTTGCTATTTGAGGTTCTAGCGCCCGGCGTGGGCGCTTATTTTCAGATAGCTGAAAACCATAGGGGTTGAGGTACTGGACACAATACGGGCGACTGACGGCAGGATGCTTGGGGACATGTCTGGTGCTGGCGCAGGTGCTGTTGGAGCTGCTGTTTCGACGCGCATATGGACGGCAGGGTGCTAGGGCGGGTGCTGTTTGGGGTACTCTTGGAGAGTCTGGTGATGGTGCGGGTGCAGTTTGGCGAGATTGACGGCAGGCTGCTAGGGGGGTGCTGGTTCGTGCTTGTGGCGTCAGCATGATGTTGTCCGCATCATCATGATGCTGTTGAAAAGTTTACAATAAATAATATTGGATGAACGCAGCGCTTGGACTGGGAAGGTAACTCAAGACATCTTAACTCAGCCCCAGAGGCAGCCATTATATTGGTGAGGGCTGGCATAAAAGCATTTCTCTTGGACACCTCCTCCTCCTCGTTCCACTGTGTGTGTTAACTCCTGTCGGTTGAAGATTAAATTCAAAGCGAAATAAAATAAAACATAACCAAATATAATAGAAATTCAAATAGAAAGGCAACCAAAAGAAAAGAAACCCATTAAACAAAATAGGCCTATATTATTTCTATTTTATTATTTTACTATAATATTTCATTCACCAGTTAAAAATTGTAAGCCTTGTTGCTGCTCTAACAGTCGCGCGTAGTGGTTCGTAGCTGGTGTGGTTCACGGGTGTGGTAGCACCATGATGCTGTCCGCATCACCATGATGCTCTGCGCATCATCACGATGCTGTCGAACTTATCAGGGCGTCGTCTCTGCCTGTTTTTTCTGCCCGATATGTAGCGCGGAATCGTCCGTGACTGGTGTATCAGCATGATGCTGTCAAAATCAGCATGATGCCGCGGGAACCGTTATGATGCTGCGTCACGGTACGTGGCCGTGGTATGCTATTTGGGGTCTATGCTGGCGTAATTATTTCCCTTTCTTCTCTTTATCATTCTTTCTTCCTTCCCTTCTTTCTTTCTTTGTTTCATTCATTATTTCATTCTTATTTCTCTCTTTCTCCTTTTATTTCTCTTTTTCTTTGTGGCGTCATTCCTTTCGTTCTGTCTTTTTCCCTGTTTTTCTGTCTTTCTTTCTTTCTTCAGTTTTTGTCTCCTCTTGCGCTGTTTGTCTCCCTTTCTCTGCTTCTCTCGTGTTTTGGTCTGCATTGGCCATTCACACGATCCTTCACATAATCGCATGATGGTCAAGCCGAATGACAATGCCTCGCGGCTTTGGGAAAATGCCACGGATGCCACGTAGAGTCCAGAGTTGGTCCTATTGAGGATGTCGTTAAAAAAACGCTCCGGACAACCCACGCTGAATTGCGATTTGCGACCTGCAACTGTTTGCAATGGTGTGGGGAAGTGCTTGACATTTGCACAGCAATTATGGCCATGTTCGCCATCCTGGACACGTCCGCTTTCCGAGCAATATCCGAATTGCCCAGGCTCACCGGCCTCTGGCTCCGAGCTCTACTCCTTGCTGCTTAGCACACCGCGCATCAGCTGCACAGAGGGCTGGCGCTCCGAATCAGAACTGTTGTTTTACACAAACCGTTTCTTAGGATGTTCACCAAACAGGGGGCAACATCATGTTCTTTTCCAGGGATTGAGCTCATGGTTCTCATAGCTACGGCTAAATGTTGTTCACATGAAAATCCATCAGCCCCCCTACTTGGATGTTCTGCGAAATAGGCAATTAATGGCAATAGAAGATAGCAATCAGCGGCTTGGTATTTTCCCCTTCACACATCTTCCAATCAACATTTTCCGCTCTACAAACGGGCCTTGTGTCCTACCGGTGGTCCGCACACTTAGCCCAGGTGTATCTGAGCAAGCATGAACTAGAGCTTATCAAGCTTACCAGAATCAGAAACCGGGCTGGACCATATTTTGGATGGTTGACGATGTCTATGCCAGGGTGTTGAGCATGGCTGTGCGAGCCCTTCCTCATTGGCTGTCCGAGCACAATCAGTCAAGAGCCAGATACATAACCTGTCGACTCTTATCGTACCAATTGTGTTCATACCTGTTATTTCACTCATTCATTTGTAAGGGCAACCTGACAGCACGCAGAGACAACCGTTGGACAAATGAGCAGCGCCATAAACCTTGACAATACAAAGTAGTAAAGGGGGGGTGTCCTATAGAATCCCCGCGAAAGCCAAAACGCAGGCCGCGAAAGCTGGCGAAAGCTTATGGCGAAAGTAATCAAAGAAGGTCCCGCCGCGAAAGACCCGCGAAAGCCTGCATGCCGCGAAAGCGTCGCGAAAGCAATTCTAAAGGAAACAAAGCCCGCGAAAGCAAAACATGGGGTCGCGAAAGCATCGCGAACGGGTCCGCGAAAGCAAGTTCATAGGACCGCTTTTTACACAAGAGTATTTGGCACGGCTCAAATGAGGTCTGTAAATTGTTACTTCAGTGTGGTTTTGCGCGTGGCTGTGGTCGCAGCCCTTTGCATGCAACAAAAACAGCATAGTCCTCATTCACACATTGTGACAAAATCTGACGTAAGCACCCTGCCGCCTCAACTCTCGATCGAACAGCAACGGGTTTCACACAAGTATTCGTTGTGTAACTTATGTAAGCCACTCAGGCAGCCGCCAGCTTTACATGACTTGCAATAGTCATGAAGCTAGGCCGACTCTTCAGCCTCCAGAGCTGGAGAGTGCAGATCCCATCCCGGAGAATCCATTCAAAGCGGAGAAGATCGAGACTTGCGCTGTATGGGTGCCTTGGCTACCTTATACAATGACAGTCCAACACTCCGACATCCGAGAGATATATTTTGGGTCAGTGCAAAATCACCCACAGGGCACTACGCACATGTTCGAAATGCAGACCAAAACATGCTTGAAAAAAACTCTGGGGCGCGAACTGCGTAATTAGCTTGCTCAGCGCACACACACACACACACACACACACATTCTTGCGCACACGTGCGCGCATGTCAAAGGACCTTTTCGCAAAGCACTAAGATTTGGATCGCTCTTGTGTACTTTAAAGATTCAAAAGCTGATACGATGAGGAGCAACCAGGCTAGCGAAGCTGTCCCCAATGTGCCGTCAGTTTGTCGCTGGTTATTTAGTTGATGTTTCATTTGCCTGTAATATATATATATATATATCAGGCCGCAAACGACAACGCGGTCTACATGATAATCGAGACAGGCACGCCCCAACTACACAGAGCAAGGTTGCTAACACGTCAGACTCGCAATGTGGCACATGAGCTCAAGTGTGCATACTTGCTCGCACAACTGCACGCGCACTAATGTGATGTTGTATGAGTGTTGCACACGTGTTCAGGCGGCCTAGGATCACTGTCGCTGAGGCCCCCGCGCCCGATCTGCAGTGGGGGCGCAATGGAAGCATGGCGAGCGACGCTAGTGCTGTCAGTGGTGCCAGCGGAACGAGCAGCGCCGACGCAGGTGACAGGCGAGGACTTAGTGAGTGAAAAAGTTGAACGAAAAGCGAATTGGAGGATGGAGCCCAGGCTCCCAGAGCAAGGCAGATTGGACAGTCGAGACCAGAGGGAAAAAGTATTGGAAGCACAAGTTACTCTTCAAGGTTCGCGATGTGCAGCAAAGGTTTTATTGATTCACTGTTTTTATTGAATGATGTTGCGCTCATCAAATAGCAGAATTTGAAAAGCGTTCCTTGCAAACATTGAGCCAGGTCTCTACGGAACAAAGTGACGTTGCGGATTTCTCGTGGGCGACGATAGGATCAAAGCTCCAAACGACTTTTGCGCCCCTTCCGCCCCTTCCGTTTGTCAGGCTTGGGCACCAAATGCCTGCCTCGCAAGTCTCACCGGGGAGCACCTCTGCGGACCGCAAGTCCGGGGACAAGGGCCAGGGTCAGACGAGGGCGCGGAGGGGGAGAAGCGAGAGAGTCAGCCTCAAACAATTCACAAGTGCAGCAATGCCACGACCTAAGATTGGCGGTTGAGGGAGATTTGTATGTCTGAGCAAGATCTCTACATTGAAGGAACAACAAGTATACATATATATATATGTAATATATATATATATATGTAATATATATATATATATACATAAAGAATGTGTGAGACCTTTGTACCAGGTTGCGCGTGTGTCACCTGTACTCGCTTCGCCGGTCATAGTTTTCAAGCTTGATTGACGAGTGTTGTTTCGCTAGGGCCAAGTGCCCACACGTGTTGATTGGCCGGCATGGTGTGGAAACCGTTGACGCATCAACGTGTAATATACTTGCATGAACTCGTGTGTTGCTCACTTTCCATAGTCCTTCTCAACCTGCGTGCAGTTGCAGTTGCAGCAGATCGATCCGCAAAAATCGAAAAGGGGGATCCAGTCCCTTGTGTCGCGCGTGTGTCGCATAACGAGTCATGTCTCGGTGTCCCTCAGGCAAGGGTGTTGTTCTTTCTTTTGCCCAAAAGCCCTTGCGAGTGAGTCCCAAGGCTCCCAGCGCTTTTGATGTTTGCCTTGCTAAGCTTTTGTTCGGCCAAGGTAGGGTCAGAGTTGGAAGGGTTCCCCTTTGAGTTATTTGCGGTCAACACTGTGCATGTGTGTGTCTCTGTGTCTGTGTGTGTGTGTGTCTCCGTGTGTCGTTGTGTGTCTTTGTGTGTCTCTGTGTGCCTCTATGTGTCTCTGTGTGTTTGTGTGTGTGTGTGGGTGGGTGCATGCATGCATGCGCGTGTGCGCGCATGCGCGGCTCAGCGTATCGAGCGCGCAAGGGGCGTGGCCTGGGGGCCCCACATTTGTTTGCCGTCCCGCCTGCCCTGGATTTAAGGTGTCAGGGCAGCTGACGAAGGTTCAGGGTGTGAGCGAGACAACAGTTGCGGGGTATTATTTTGCGCGTGACTGGCGCAGCTAGCTACAAAAGGTTTTGAGCGAGCTTATTGTGTTTCGTGCCTGTTGAGTTCGCTTCTTGGTTGTTGGGTTTCGGGGTCCTTTTCTGGAAAGCTGTCTTTGGGAGAAGGGCTTTGCATGACCTGTTTTGAAGTTGAGTTTGGATCTGTCCTGGCTTTGGGGTAGGTGATCGATAGCTCGGAGGCGATTTGGGGGAGTTGTTAGGACGGGATCTCCAGGCCGCCACACCGCAGATGGCGGACATCTTCATGTCAGAAGAGCAGCCGCAGGGCTGGGAGCGCATCACCAAAGCCGTCAGGCGAGGCTTCGCTCTCCTATGAAAGCTGTTCCACCCAACAAGCTTGAGAGAAAGCCCTTTCAAGGAACATATTTGGGCAGTGGGCTTCCGAAAAATGCAATTTGCGTATTCCCCCCCCCCCCCCCAAAAGATGTATGCGGACCCCACCCCAGGTCTATATATTTCCTTTGGGGAACATGTAACTCGCTACCTGGGCAAGTAGAAATTGCCTTGTCTCCTCCCCCCACTTCAAAGGAAAGTCTACAGGTCTGCAAGCCGAAACATTTTTAGGTGGCAACCCCAAAAAATGCAACATACAGTTCCAGAAGTCCCCACCCCCTTAAGGGGGTGGGACTTGTCTATTCATGTCATTCCAAGACAGGCAAATGGGTCAAAGCTGGTGTGTGTATATGTGTGGGTGGATGGGGGAGGGGGACAAGAGCCGGTAATGTGTGGCTTGGCTGGCTAAATTCTATATAGTAGCCCATGGGCCTGTCCTGGATTGCTGGCAACCTGCTGACAGCCAACTGCAGGTCATCTATTGACTACCTGGCCGCGGTGCTCGTTCTTTTGAATTCCATTGTGCTGCTGATGGAGCCCCTTGGCCAAAGTACTGGACGTGCATCCTGGCCCAAAGAGATTGATCATGCCGAGGGTGCGCTCGTACATAGAATCAATTTAGGCATTACAAAGGTGTTTGAGGAGAAATAGACGCAAACCAAATGTTTCATCGACTGCCAAATGCAGTTTGCAAGTGTCATGATCCTGAATGGTACAGAAATTACAGCCGGAACAGGTTGGTAGCAAGCAGAGAACTTCTTTTGAGCTTTGCAGGAACCTGCTTGGGGCTTGGATATGGCTTGGGATGTTTCTTCCAAGTCTATTTTGCAGGTGCTGTCTTTACGTGGCGAGCAAGTACTCATTGTCGAAGGAATAGTGCAGATCAGTTCTTATAAGGCATCGTGATTTGCAAATGGTGGGGGCGGGGAAGGGACAAACTGTTTCAGGTTTGTGCCGACATGCCATTGTCACAGTCATGGTAGGTGTTGCTTCTGGATTCCTGGAAGCATATGTTGCCGAGGCTGGAGTTCAAGGGGAACGCCATTGGTGCTCGCATGGGTCTCAGCGAGGGTCCTACCATGGAGGAGGTGGAGCCCGTGTTCCAGAATTTGGATAGGCGCTGCGGGTCAAATGTTTGCTTGTTGTGCACCATGTCAGACACCTAGGAACCCAGGGAATCTCGAGAGTCAATTTGGTCAGCAAGGTTTGTAATTGAATGCATGCGTCTGGGGAGTGCGATGGTAATTGTTTGTCATATGCTGCTGTATGTTGCTGCACAATCTGCTTCAGTATGATGGAATGAACCGCTCAAGAAGGAGCATGTGTTGACCCAAATTGAGCCGTCCAAGCAAAGCCATGGATTTGCCAGCATAAGGCATCCACATTGAAGCGAATCATGGGGTGCGTCAGTCACACATTCGGCAGTTCTACAATAGTCAAATTTCCTTCAACGATGCTCGGTTCGATCAGGCGGCTTCCTCTAGCTTCGATTTCTCGCAAAGCTTGAAAAGCTTGCAAAGCTTGAAAAGCAAGTACTTCTCAGAAGGATGATAGGCCCAAGCTAGCAGCATTTCGTCGACTAGATCGAGAGAGACAGCTAACTTTACTAACTTTGGCAAACTAATGAGTGGTAGAGTGCTTATTGCAAAGCTTTATAACCAGAGAACACCAGTCTCGGCATATATCGAGCAAACATATTCTGAGTAGCTTGAGATAGGAACTGTCGGAAACCTCAGTGGTCTCCTTGTTCACCCTTCCGATTTATTGATCGTGTCCGATTTTATCTGGAAGTGAGACAGAAGCGACCTAAATCCCTGTCGCCCCTGAGATTTTTTGTCTTCGTCTTTTTGGCAGAGCTGCTGGTGCGGATGGCAGTGGAGCAGGGAAACTTCCGCAGAGAGTGGACCAATTGGCTGGACACTGCTCTGGTCATTCTTGGCCTTGTGGACTTCTACTTCAGCTTGCAGGCGCTCAAAGTTTGCAGTTTGTGACGTGACGTGAATTGATTGACAAATCGGTCTGTCCCTGGGCAAGTTCCACCCTCTTGTTGACATGTTTGTCCTGGAGGAAGCCTTTGTGTTCGTCCTCGTCCAGGAATCACAACGCGCTAAGAGACAAATGGAATCACTCAAGGCGTTGTTTCGGATTTGTTCATTCATATTTGAAAGGGTGTTCTTTTCAATTGCAGTTTGCATCAAAGTTGCAATGAACGATATTCGTTTGCAAGTATCCCGGCAAGCGACCCCAAAGAATGATTAGAACGCATTGTCAGTTCTCACGCGGGTAACATGAAAGTTGCCGCCGCAGCATATTACCACTTGCTTCTGCACATAATTTCCTGAAATCACCGCACAGGGTCTCTATAGAAGGTCACGCACGCGCTCTTCAAACAGAAGCTTTCTGAAAGCTCCGGCACAAGATTGCTGTGTAGAGAAGTTCCGCACAAGGTTTCTCCGAGGAAACCTATACTAATGTTCTAAGGGTTGATTCCCCATTCTTTCGTCACACGTGCACTCAGTGCAACGACCGGTCTTTCCAGCCCGGGCTAGGGGTACGGGCAATAGACTGCTTCGATGGCGATTGTTTGTGCATCCATTTTGGGGGATAATTGGGTTAGCTCTTTGGAATGGGGAGGTGTGGCTTAGAAATGTGTCTGTAGGAAGTACTGGGCAAAGATATTTGTGGAAGGCGGACACGATCACATGATACGATCTCTTGGCAATATCGGTGCGCAGGATGTCCGGCCTGTTGAGAGGACCTTTATACAGGACTATTTGTGGGAGGATGTTTACACGATCTCTCCACAAGCTCTTTGGGTAGGATCTCTTTGTAGGATGCCGTCTACAAGCTTTATGTTCAAAAGGGAGGCAAGGTCTCTTGAAAGGAAATCCTTGTCGAATCCCTGTAAGGACCAGCGCAAGGCATCCTTGGGATGATTTTTGCACGCGGGGCCCTTGCACGGCTTGTCACAGCCCTATGTTCCTCGACTAATTTAAACAGGTTTTGTGCAACACGTAGCCTCTTGACTAGCCTTGGGAAGCACATAATTTTCTGCTGGCTAAGAACATTGTTAGTAGTTTCTTGGTAGGGTCCCGAGGTCCTTTCTGTTGTTGGCGCAACGCACCTGTTGAAAGTCTTGCGCGGGTAGAGCCTTCATTCTGCCAAATCCGCAGATAGAGCCTTCATTCTGGCAAATCAAATTGGTTGTCTCTGCAGTTTGCGCAGGTGGCACGAACAAGCAGTTGTGGGCGTGTTTCTCCCGATTGAACTTTCACACAGGTCCACAGACAAAGTGACCGTAGACAAACCGTAGACAAACCATACAAAAACCGTAGACAAACAGGCCTTTCACTGTATAGAACCGTGTTTTTGCCGTAGAACGGTCATTTGTTGCAGGGGGGTCAAGAGCCTCATCCGCAATAGTTGTTGTGATGGGTAGAGAGCCAGGCTGTCCCGCTGTTTTTAGGTCAGGCTAAGGGTGTGGGCCGGAAGAAGGGCAAATTTCTACAACGCTGCATGGTCATGTTAAGAAACCGAGGAGTGCAACTAGTGAAACACCACATAGAAGCCAACATTAGCGGCGCAAAGTGTCAACCATGTTGCTCCTTACGTAGACGTATTTGACTTTTCGATCTACGGAGCGGCCGCCCTTGTCCAGTCCAAATATGAGGCCATTGCGCAGGCCGAGCAACTCGCGCAGAGCACTTGGGCAGAGCAACTTGCACAGCGCGCTCTTGCGCAAAGAGCTTTGCAGACATGACAAAACTTGCGCAGGGCGCTTACGAGGAACAACTCAAAAATAATATCTTGCGCAGAAATTGCGTAGGGCAACTTGGGCTTCGAGAGATCGACGCAGCAGACGTTTGCCCGCTCGAAGAGAGCTACCTTCGCAAAGTAACTTGCGCAGAGCAATGTGCGCTGAGCTACTGTATAGCTGGTTTGAACTTCGGAAATTTTGTAAGATTTTCGAGCAACTCTTATACGTTCGATCTGCAAGTCAGGTCGAAAGTTCGCTAAGTTCGCCAAGCTCGCCGGGGGTTTTCTTTATGCACTTTTAAGTTAGCCTTGCTACTTTGAGAGCTTGTAAGTTAGTTAACGTGTTTCACGCCACAAAACTTACAGGGAACTTAGGTTGAACTTAGGTTGAACTTAGGAGCCGTGCTACATCAAGGGTTCGCGAGAAGGAACATGAGAG